AGCCTCCTGAGTAGCTGGGATTACAGGCACGCACCACCATGCCCAGCTAATTGTTTGTATTTTTAGTAGAGACGGGGTTTCACCATGTTGACCAGGATGGGCTCGATCTCTTGACCTCATGATCCACCCGCCTCGGCCTCTCAAAGTGCTGGGATTACAGGCGGACCTAAATATTCTTAAAGTAGGAAACTTGCCAATGTGCCAACAGTCCTATTTATATTAAAATATCCTTATTTTACTCTTAATCTTGAAAGATGGATTTGCCAGCCACGAATTTCTGCTTTGACATTGCTCTTCCCTGAGCTCTTCAAGGGATGCTCTCTCTTCTGGTTGCTGTGGGTGATGAGGAGAAGTCAGCTACATGCTAATCTAGTTGCTTTTCAGATGAGCTGTTTCTTCTGTGGCTACCTTTAAGATCATCATTTGTCTTTAGCCTCTGACACTCTAGGGCAGTATGAGTAGATGTTGTTCTCTTTCATTCACAGAGTGACACACACATTTGTTTAATCTTTGATTATACTCTCTTTATGGAATGCCTCCTTTTAGTTACTCTCCTTCCACCTTCTAAGAGTTTAACTAATGTCAAAACTTATTCAGCCACCATACTCACTGTGAAACCCAGATGAATAAACTCACAAATATATCCAAACCTTAAGCCTCGGAACTTTTAAATATGTTACCTTACAGAGCAAAAGGGACTTGCAGATATGATTAAGGGTTTGGACTTTGTGATGGAAAGATTATCTTCGATTATCTGGGCAGGCCCAATCTGATCACAGCTGCTTCTTCTTCTTCTTCTTTTTTTTTTGGTGGATCTCTGATTGCTATTTGAAAATCGTTTTAAATTTTTATTATAAGTTTTGGGGTACATGTGTAGGGTGTGCAGGTTTGTTAAACAGACAAATGTGTGCCATCATGGTTTGCTGCACCTACCAACCCATCACCTAGGTATTAAGCCCAGCATGCACAGCCGTTTTTCCTAACGCTCTCCCTCTCCCAACCCACTCCATGACAGGCCCCACTGTGTGTTGCTCCCCTCCCTGTGTCCATGTGTTCTCATTATTCAGCTCACACTTATAAGTGAGAATATGCGGTGTTTGGGTTTTTTGTATCTGAGTTAGTTTGCTGAGGATAATGGCTTTCAGTTCCATCCATGTCCCTGCAAGGGACATGATTTCATTCCATTTTATGGTTTCACAGTATTCCATCATGTATATGTATCACATTTTTCTTTATCCAGTCTATCATTGATGGGCATTTGGGTTGATTCCATGTCATTGTTATTGTAAATAGTGCTGCAATGAACATACGTGTGCATGTATCTTTGTAATACAATAATTTCTATTCCTTTGGGTATATACCCAGTAATGGGATTGCTCAGTCAAATGGCATTTCTGGTTCTCGATCTCTGAGGAATGGCCACACCAGCCTCCAAATGGTTGAACTAGTTTACAAACCCACCAACAGTATAAAAGCATTCCTATTTATCTGCAAACTCACTAGTATCTGCTGTTTCTTGACTTTTTTTTTTTTTTTTTTGAGATGGAGTCTCACTCTGTTACCCAGGCTGGAGTGCAGTGGCCCCTTATCAGCTCACTGCAAACTCCACCTCCTGGGTTCAAGGAATTCTCCTGCCTCAGCCTCCTGAGTAGCTGGGATAACAGGCACCCACCACTATGTTCAGATAATTTTTTGTATTTTTAGTAGAGATGGGGTTTCACCATGTTGGCCAGGCTGGTCTCGAACTCTTGACCTCAGGTGATCCACTCTCCTCGACCTCCCAAAGTGCTGAGATTACAGGTATGAGTCACCGTGCCCAGTCTGTTTCTTGACTTTTTAATAGTCTCCATTATGGCTGGCATGAGATGGTATCTCATTGTGGTTTTGATTTGCATTTCTCTAATAATCAGTGATGTGAAGTTTTTTTTCGTATGTTTGTTTGCTATGTAAATGTCTTCTTTTGAGACTGTTCATGTCCTTTGACCACTTTTTAATGGGGTTGTTTGTTTGCTTGTTTTTTGTTAATTTATTTAAGCTCCTTGGAGATTCTGGATATTAGACCATTGTCAGAGGGATAGATTGGAAATATTTTCTCCCACTTTGTATGTTGTCTGTTTACTCTGATAATAGTTTATTTTGCTGTGCAGAAGCTTTTTAGTTTAATCAGATCCCATTTGCCAATTTTGGCTTTTGTTGCAATTGCTTTTGACTTTTTCGTCATGACATATTTGACTATTCCTGTGTCTTGAATGTTATTGCCTAGATTTTCTTCTAAGGTTTTTACAGTTTTGGGTTTTACATTTATGTCTTCAATCCATCTTAGTTAATTTTTGTATAAGGTGTAAGGAGGAGTACAGTTTCAATTTTTCTGCATATGGCTAGCTAGTTCTCCCTGCATCATTTCTTTTTTTTTTTTTTTTTCTTTTTTTCTTTTTTTTTTATTGCATTTTAGGTTTTGGGGTACATGTGATGAACATGCAAGATTGTTGCATAGGTACACACATGGCAGTGTGCTTTGCTGCCTTCCGTCCCCTCACCTGTATCTGTCATTTCTCCCCATGCTATCTCTTCCCACCTCCCCACCCCCCGCCCCTCCCCCATTTCCCCCCAACAGACCCCAGTGTGTAGTGCTCCCCTCCCTGTGTCCATGTGTTCTCATTGTTCAACACCCGCCTATGAGCGAGAATATACGGTGTTTGATTTTCTGCTCTTGTGTCAGTTTGCTGAGAATGATGGTTTCCAGGTTCATCAATAAGAATCTTTTCCTAGTTGCTTGTTTTGGTCAGGTTTGTTGAAGATCACATAGTTGTAGATGTGGAATCTTCTTTCTGAGTTCTCTATTTTGCTCTCTTGGTCTATGTGTCTGTTTTTGTACCAGTTCCATGCTGTTTTGATTACTGTAGCTTGAAGTAGAGTAGCATGATGCCTCCAGCTTTGCTCTTTTTGCTTAGGATTGTCTTGGCTATACAAGCTTTTTTGGGTTCCATATGAATTTTAAAATGGTTTCTTCTAATTCTCTGAAAAATGTCAGTGGTAGTTTAATGAGATTAGCATTGAATCTATACATTACTTCAGGCAGTATGGCCATTTTTGTGATATTGATTCTTCCTATCCATGAGCATGGAGTGTTCTTTCATTTGTTTGTGTCCTCTCTGATTTCCTTGAGCTTCAAGGATCTGCTCAAGAGGTCCTTCAATTCCCTTGTTAACTGTATTCCTAGACATCTTATCCTGTTTGTAGCAATTGTGAATAGGAGTTTTTCATGATTTGATTCTCTCCTTGTCTATTGTTGGTGTATAGGTGTGCTTGTGACTTTTGTACATTGATTTTGTATCCTAAGACTTTACTGAAGTTTCTTATCAGCTTAAGAAGCATTTTGTAGCAATTGTGAATGGCAGTTCGTTCTTGATTTGGCTCTCTTTAAGTCTGTTATTGGTGTATAGGAATGCTTGTGGTTTTTGCACATTAATTTTCTATCTTGAGACTTTGCTGAAGTTGCTTATCAGTTTCAGGAGATTTTGGGCTGAGACAATGGGGTCTTCTAGATATATAATCATGTCATCTGCAAATAGAGACAATTTGACTTCCTCCTTTCCTATTTGAATACCCTTTATTTCTTTTTCTTGCCTGACTGCTCTGGCTAGAACTCCCAGTACTATATTGAATAGGAGTGGTGAGAGCTTCTGCAGGGCAAAAGAAACGGTCATTAGAGTGAATCGGCAACCAACAGAATGGGAAAAAATTTTTGCAATCGACCATCTGACAAAGGGCTGATATCCAGAATTTACAAAGAACTAAAACAGATTTACAAGAAAAAAACAAGCCCATTCAAAAGTGGGCAAAGGATATGAACAGACACTTTACAAAAGAAGACATACATGAGGCCAACAAACATATGAAAAAATGCTCATCATCACTGGTCATTAGAGAAATGCAAATCAAAACCACATTGAGATACCATCTCAAGCTTGTTAGAATGGCAATCATTAAAAAATCTGGAGACAACAGATGCTGGAGAGGATGTGGAGAAATAGGAACACTTTTACACTGTTAGTGGGAGTGTAAATTAGTTCAACCATTGTGGAAGACAGTGTGACGATTCCTGAAGGACCTAGAAATAGAAATTGCATTTGACCCAGCAATCCCATTCCTGGGGATATATCCAAAGGATTATAAATCGTTCTACTATAAGGACACATGCACACAAATGTTCATTGCAGCACTATTTACAATAGCAAAGACCTGGAACCAACCCAAATGCCCATCAATGATAGACTGGACAGGGAAAATGCAGCACATATACACCATGGAATATTATGCAGCCATAAAACCCGATGAGTTTGTGTCCTTTGTAGGGACATGGATGAACCTGGAAACCACCATTCTCAGCAAACTGACACAAGAGCAGAAAATCAAACACCGCATATTCTCACTCATAGGCAGGTGTTGAACAGTAAGAACACATGGACACAGGGAGGGAGCGCTACACACTGGGATCTGTTGGGGGGAAATGGGGGAGGGACAGTAGGGGGTGGGGAGTTGGGGAGAGATAGCATGGGGAGAAATGCCAGATATAGGTGAAGGAAAGGAAAGCAGTAAATCACACTGCCATGTGTGTACCTGTGCAACGATCTTGCATGTTCTTCACATGTACCCCAAAACCTAAAATGCAATAAAAAAGAAAGAAAAAAAAAAGAAGCATTTTGGCTGAGACAATGGGGTTTTCCAGATATAGTATCATGTCATTTGCAAACAAACATACTGACTTCCTCTCTTCCTATTTTAATATCCTTTCTTTCTCTTATCTGATTGCCCCACCAGGACTTTCAATACTATGTTGAATAGGAGTGGTGAGAGGGGACATCCTTGTCATGTGCTGGTGTTAAAGGGGAATGCTTTCAGCTTTTGCCCGTTCTGTATGGTATTGGTTGTGGGTTTGTTGTAGATGGTCTTTATTATTTTGGAACATATTCCTTCAATACCTAGTTTATTGCTAGTTAAAAAATATGGCAGGCTTCCTGAATCTGTGTGTCACCGTTGTGCAGGGAACATGCGGATCTTCTCTATATTGCTCCAGTTTTAATCTATGTGCTGCCAAAGTGAGCACTGATCACAAGCTCTAAAGAGTGGAGATAACTGAAGAAATGTGGGTGAGAGGGAGTGTTGGATTTCATCTGCAGTAGTTTCTGCATCTAGTGAAATGTGATCATCTCTGTCTTTGATTCTTTAATTAAGTGGTAAAATGCATTATAGAGTTAAAGTTTAAATATTCTTTTATTCTTGGGATAAATAACCTGGGCAAGACATTTAATTTGCTTATAGCTAATTGGTGGACACAGTCTACTACGATTTTTCTCAGTATTTTTACGTCTAATTACTTAGAAGTGATTATCCTATCATGCTTTTCTCTTAGGTATTCCCTAGCTGGCTTTAGAATCTATGTGATTTATGCATAAACAATAATGAGATCACTCACTTTCTCCATGTTTCCTCATTCTCTTGAATATTATGTATAAGTTCAGTAACGTTCTTTGAAGTTTTGGCAGAACTTATCTGTAAAACATTCTGGATACGCCTGAAGGGAAATAAAGTTTTACAACCATTTTAACTTCTTTTTCTTGTAGTAAGTTCTTCCCATTGACATAATCTTATTCACAGCTTCACAATTATTTAAACCTCTACTGTATCTTTAGTGGCACACATTTATCTGTCATAATGCTATTTTATTCTTAATTACCACTGCCTGTTTAATTTTTCTGTCCAAAGAAACAGCTGGGCAGCTTTTGGCAGGCTGGGCCCTCAACAGTGGCAGCTTCCAGGTCAGCCTTGGTGAGTGGTGAGTTCATTGCTGTGCCCATGCAGTGTCCATCCCAGTCACCACAGCCACTTTGTGCAGGGACTCCATGAGCAAGCCCTGTGTGGTCGAGTGCTGTTATCCATCAAGCCATCTCTTCTACCTGATTACAGGGAGCCCCAGTCCCTTAAAGACCCTCTGAAAGGCATCCACATACAACCACTGTCTTCACACACTCTGACTACAGCAAGAAGTCTACGTGTACCTCTCATCTCCACCTCCCAATTTTGCAACTCTATTTTTCCCAAGTTCGTGACCGGCCAGCCAAGCCATGAGCCACTGCCCATGACTCATTCATTCATGCACTACTGGGGCATCATTTCACATCCGCCATCTACCATGGGCTTGTTTGGGTTTTGATTCCTAGTTCCTGGCTTGACAGCCATTTCCAAAGCTGTTCTGGTGTCAGCTCCCAAGCCTACAGCTTTTGCTGTAGATTCTCCTCTTTGTGTGTATTTATTCCCTGGAATTAAAAACATTGCACTAATTTTTTCAATGCAGCATTTCCTAAGATGTGCAGTAGGAGCAAGTCTTCTTACTATAGATAGAATTGTTTCAAACCTTCAGAAATGTCTATTTGAGTGAAGGACAGCATGCATGGAGAAAAGGGGACAACCCACAAGCAGGCAGTGGATTTTCACAAAGTGAACACTCGTGCAAACAACACCCACATCAAAGTACAGCAATCACAGCCTCCCAGAAACATCTTTGGGTCCTACTCAGTCATAAACCACCCTCCCCAACCCTAGAGTAGCTGGTCTTGATTTCTAACACAAACTAGTTCTGCCAGTTCTAGTTGAATGGCATTATACAGTTGCCACCATGACCCTGGGTCTCATCTCATTGTGTGGTCATAGCCTACTCACTTGACTGTCCAAGGCTCCACTTTATAAGTAGCTCACATTACTTTCCCCTTCACTGCTCTATCTAGATTTTACAAATCATGCTGGTATGAATGTTTTCATATATTTTGGAGCACACACGAATTTCAATTGGTTGATAACAGTGCAGTTGCTGGGTCATAGATGAGTAGATGCTTGGATTAGTTTCTCAGACAAGTTTCTAGTAGTAAACAGTATAGAAGGGTAAATATCTTAGTTTAGAAATTATTCAGATAATAAATGAGGAAGGAATGAGAAACTGAGACTATAATAACTCTTTTGCAACCCATAGGAATTAACAGATTTAACTATTGAACAGCGATGGCAATTAACAACACAATAAAAGAAGAAACTAATGTGAGGTTCTTCCTCTTGTTGGAAGAACACAAGCAAGTCCAAGTGAAAAAGAAATGAAGCCTGACCCTAAGCTAACCTCCATAGCCAATTATCAATTTAGAGGCAATACAGGTCATAGAAATACACATTAAACTGCACCTTGGGAGCAATCAGCAAAATGCACACTATAGGAAGCTTTACCACACAATATATATTTCAAGGAGAATCTATAGAATAAAAGAGAACAAAAGCATATTTCTAAAGGTAAAACTTCTAGGTATGTGTGCAGCTCACATCACCAGAGGCAGTATGCAGGTCTACTCCTTGACTCCTGGAAGAACCTGATAGGACACAGCTGAGGGGAAGTCTTCCCGGCCATCTGCAGGCTCTTGGCCATCAGTGTAGCCGGAGCGGGTCCTCACCTCTCTACAGGCGCCTTCACCGCCAGAGCCTCCTCTCTGCATGAGGAGTAAGGCTTGGTCTTTCCCCTGAACACAGTGACATGGATTTCATCAAAGGTGGAGATTACACCATTAATCCCCCAGCAACCTCACGCTTCTTTTGCTTTACAAGAAAGTTGACTCAGCCTGGTGACCAGTGAAAAAAATCCCAGGTGCATAGGAAGGAAAGGTGGATCTCAGGGCTGTGTGTGATCTGCAAAAGGAAGCGCATGGACCACCAGGTGGCGCTGCTTCGCTGCTCCTGCTCCCAGGAGATGGATGTCCAGGATGAGTTTTAAGGTGATGAGAGGGATGTCATTGCTCATCCTCCAGGTTCCAAGTAAAAACCTTCCAGCCCAGCCCTTCACGTTCTCCCTGAATCTTCAATGCTAATTAGGATCGTTTCCTTCTCACTTCCCTGGACTTGGCTTTTTAACACTGAAAAATGAATATGATTTCTAGTTTCAGCATGTCCTGGTTTATTGTGCTGCCAGTAAAATAAAATCAAAATACACATTGAATAAATAAGAAATGAAACAACCCATAGAGAACAAATGTTTATGGTGTATATTTTTGAGTGAATATCTCACCCTGTGGCCTGGGTTGGAGCACAGTGGTGTGATCATAGCTCACTGCACCCTTGAATTCATGAGCTCAAGCGATCTTCCCACTTCAGCCTCCCTAACACGTGAGAATACAAGTGCCCACTACCACGCCCAGCTAGGTTTACTTATTCTTAGTGTTTTTTGGAGATGAGGGACTCACTATGTTGTCCAAGCTTGTCTTCAACTTCTGATCTCAGGCGATCGTCTTGCCTTAGTGTCCTGAATTGCTGGGATTACAGGCGTGAGCTGTCATGCCCGGCTTGTAATGTACTGACACCATCATGGTTTCCTTCTCCACATGTGGACACAGCAGCAGACACCCCTTGTCTCTTGGGTCAGGACACTGGGTAGAGTGAAACAGCAAGGTAACAGTCACTGCAGAAAGCACCCACGTGGAAGAGGTCCAGCAGGGAGGGCCAGCTGTCCCAGGACCACCATATTTAGGGGTAACTGCACTTCCAGGACTGTTTTTTTAAATTACTTTTGTATTCAGTATAGTTCTGAAATCGTCGAATGATGAGACTCAAGACTGCCTAGGTTTTTTTTTTTTTTTTTTTTTTTTTTTTTTTTTTTTTTTTTTTAAAAAAAACCCATCTCTGAGATTTGTTGATCTTTTGGATAATTTTTTGTGTCTCAATTTCCTTCAGAACTTAACTCATTCTTAACAGTTCACAGTCCACTTTCAGTTAACAATGTACTAGTACCCATAAATATAAAAATCTTGCAACCATCTATCCTCTATAAAATGTCCATCTTTTATGTTATAGATATTATATGTAATATACTCTATATAGGTTATAAGTCTCACAAGAAAAAGCTTTTCCTTATCTTTAAACAGTTCTATGTATATAAAGGAAGTGTAAATGAGGGGAGTAAGATAGCCTTTTGCACTTAGCTCAATATTTACTATTTTTGATCATCTTCATCTTTTCTGATAATCTCATTTTCCACCTGGTATAATTTGTCTTTAGCCTGAAGAATTTTCTTTACTAATTGAAACTGTGCAGATCTGCTGGTGATAAATTCTCTTCATTTTCTTTTACCGAAAATGTCTTCTTATTTTGCCTGTCTTTGAAGGACATCTGGGCTCAATATAGAATTCTTGGTTGACTGTTTTTTCTTCTAGCACTTTAAAGATGTTATTCTACTTTCTTTTGTTTCTATGGTTTCTAATAAGAAGTCATTGGTCAGGACAAGAGGAACAGAGAAACAAAAACTGGGAAAATAACATGGTAGACCTGAAACTTACCATATCAGTAATGACAAAAACCTACATGAATCAACAATCCAGTGAACGGCAGGGATTGTGTGACTTGGTTTAAAAAAACACAGGACTCAACCATATGCTCTTTCCAGACATGCATTTTCTTTCTTTTTAATTTAACTTTTATTTTTAGTTAAAGGGTACATATGCAGATTTGTTATATAGATAAACTTGTGTCATGGGGTTTTGTTGTATAGATTATTTCTGTACGCATCATTACCCATCCAAGTATTAAGCCTGATTACCCATTATCTCTTTCTCCTGATCCTCTCCTTACTCCCACCCTTCACCCTCAAGTAGACCCCAGTGTGTGTTGTTCTCCTCTACATGTTCATGTTTTTTCATTTAGCTTCCACTTGATCTCATTCATTTTTATGGCTGCATAGTATTCTATGGTGTATATGTGCCACATTTTTTAAAATCCAGTGTAACATTGATGGACATTTAGTTTGATTCTAAGTCTTTGCTCTTGTGAGTAGTACTACAATAAACATATGTGTACATGTAAGACATGCCCTTTCTTTTTTATTTATTTTATTCTATTTTACTTTAAGTTTCAGAATACATGTGCAGAATGTCCAGGTTTGTTACACATGTATAGTCTGCCATGGTGGTTTGCTGCACCTATTGACCCGTCCTCTAAATTTCCTCCCCTCATTTGCCACTCTCAACAGGTTCTGGCATATGTTGTTCCCCTCCCTGTGTCCATGTGTTCTCATTGTTCAAC